TAATCATCTGCAAAAGTTATAGATGGGAGACCTAAACCAGGATGCAGAGGACGAGTGATAGGGGGATTCTGATTTGGAAAAGCCCCACTAGATTGTGGGAACCTGGACCCTTTGCCGTAGTCAAGATGAAGGAAAACACCTTCAGTGGTGGCTCAGGGAAAGCCAACCAGTGGGCTGCCATGGCCTTGGGTGGTGGAGCCCAGCTTTGGGAAGGGTGAGTGCCTGGTGCCTCCCGAAGATTCAGGATTGCTATTTTCTTTTCCTTGCTTTTCCTGTAAGATACAATTGGGGTCTGCCTTCATGCTGGCATGTGCTTGAGGCCAAGGGATCTCAGAGAAGTGTTGGGGACAAGAGAGAGTGAGGTTAGAGAGTTTTGGCCCAGCTCTCTTTAAAGCTGATAGCTGTGGAGATCTCTTCCTAGCACCAAAACCTACCTTCTAGCCCATGACCTTTCATTTCCCAGGCCAGGCCCTCATTCCCCCATGAGAGAAGGGGCGAAATCCAGGCCAAGCTGAGGTAATTCCATAGCTCTGTGTCTCCAAGGAGAAGGACATCCACTGGCACAAAGCGTTGAGTAAAAACCCTTTAATAACAAAATAACATTCACGACGTAGCTACTTCAGTTGTCTGGAAAACTCAGCTTACACTTGATTCAACATGTCACTTTCCACAAAGTTAAAAAAAAAAAAGGACATAAAATGGCATAACAAAATATACCTCGAGTTTCATAAGACAAGTCTTCTTGGCAAATCCGAGTGAGCCAAACCCATGCGTTGCTCGTAATAAAAAGGCTGGGCACGCTCATGTCTCAGACACTCCTCTGTTTATTTTGGATCAAAAATGCATTTGAACTTTGTAGATACTACAATATCTGCAAGAAGAGGAATAGTTTGTGGGTTTCTGAGTGTGAGGAGAACTTTACTGAAACAAATATCGATTTGGTTTATTGCGGAAGAACATATAAAGCTTTCTGGAAGATTAAATACTATTACAATCATTAACTGTCTCACAAAAGCCGACTTAAAATTCTTGTATCCATTCCCATCTTTGGCAGATTCATAAGGGGAAAAATAAAAAAGACTATACATTACAAAGCTTTCATTATCACAATCTACTTTATAAGGCCAAATAAAAATACGTTTCTTTGTATTATTAATGAAAGCGCATTCCCAACATATTCTCATTGCCAGGAAATATGAATGCTCCACAGTTGGTGATTTCCAGTATTCTGCACAGCAGATGGTTGCTTTCCCGCCGTTTCCTAAGCTGCACTTTCCCATGCAAAATAAAGTGTGATTGGCAGCTGATTTGGCTTTATGTCAAGCATACTGGTTTGGGAAATTGGTAAGAAACTTGACAATGGGTCTCAGAACCCAAATATAAGAAAGAACAAGTTTGCCCAAACCACTGCAACCGAAAAATACCTTTTGAGATATAGAGGCCTCAGATAACGGGGGAGTTTAAACCAACATGGTCTTCCGAAACTGGGTTTCAAAACTTCTTAGATTACCTTTAGGACAGGCGTAACGTTGTTGGGCAGGAAAGGGTGAGTTCGAGTCACCTGTGCCTCTAGGGGGAAGAGCCACAATATGGCTGCACGGGGGATGTTTGGGGAATGGCCATCTACTTTTGCCTGAATCACTGGAAGAGTTGGTGAAGTTGTCCAGGAGAGTGGACAAAAAAGCCAGAGAATAATTATTGATATTGATCCCATTTGAGTTTCTCCTGGGAACCGACCTGACAATAAAATACTAGAAGAAACCAAGCACAGTCAAAGTGGCCATTCCCAAGCAGAGATCCAGGAGAGGCAGGAGCTGGATGAATTTGCATCTCCATATGCATGGCTAGTTAGGTCTGAGGTCGTGAACATAAAGCCAAAAGGACTCCTTTTAGCAGAAACTAAAAATGCAGAATTGAGATGTTTTTCAGTGCTTGTTTCCAAACCCCTCTTGGATATAGTGATAGAGCTGGGTTATGAGGATCCCAATTGTGGAATGTAAGTTGGCTAACTCAAACTTGGAATGACCTTTCTCATAAAATTTGAACTTGATTCAATCTGACTGATTCCAACAGATGGAAAGGTATTTTCGAGGTAAGACATCTCCCAATAAACCAATATTACCACTGTCTGAGGCTGAACTGTGTACATTTTCACAGTTTAATGTATACACAACTGTTCCACAACTGCTAACCAACGCTTGGCGCCCATGCATAAATAAAGTCCATTGAACCAAAGGGAAAGATCTAGTTCAAAATGAAAATGTTGCTATTAAGACCACAATGCATCACACTGCTAAACTTTTAGCCTCATGCATAAAATTATAGCACTGATTGGCAGCTGCTAATTATAATACTACACTGTTAACACAGAACAATTAATTGGTCAGACCAAGTAGCACAAATGTAGAAAATAATAGTTTTTTTCCAACAGAGCAAATGAACACAGATTGTTTCTTCAGCAAAATATGTAACTGTAAACTTTGGGTTCATTCTGCAACTTTCCCCAATCCAGAATAAATAAAATCCAAAGGGGAAAAAAAGAACATACATTTTTTTTAAGCGCACCTTTTCGTCTATTACAAAAGCACAACCTAAAACGTATAAAGCTTTTTTTTCTTTTTTCTTTTTTTAAATCACAGTTACCAAAAGAAAACAGTGAATAATTTATTACATACGCTATAATAACATTACTCTAAACACTATTATCTATGAGGTATATCTGAGAAAATTCGGTAAGGAATTGCGCGGTCTGCATTGCCAACATGCCCAGGTTCATATTAAAGCTTCGGAACCGTGAACTAGAAAAGGGAGAAGAACGGGGGAGGCGGAAAGAAGAGACACAGAGAAAGAACCTTTGGTATTAGTACAAATCTTGTTCTTTGCAGGTTGCTTTGCAAAGCACCACAGTACAATAAGCCCACCAATTTACTGTATGGAGGCCCAGTTGAAGCTGAGGTATTCACAGGAAGGATTAAAAAAAGCACAGAGAGGTCCAGACTGGCTAAATCGTTGCTTTGGTTCAAGCAAGGCACTCGTCCCGTGGTTATGTCACACTTTGCAAATGAAGCATGAGGCTGAGGGGGGATTGCTGAGGAGGGGTCTGCCATTTGGGGATGTTTTCTGTGTTCAGGCTGCCATCACTCTCTCTAGGTTCCCTCTTGTAGGGGGTTGGTGTTGGAAGGCTGGGGAAGATGATATTTGCTTATAGGGGAGCACTCTGCTGCTCATTGATCAGATCTTCTTTGTCGTGTCTCCCAGGTATCCTGAGAATTCTATTTCCAATAGGAATTTGAGAAGAAAACCAAAGCAATTCGCTGTTTGGAAGGAAGGCCTTACAAGTTTGCTTTGTAGAGGGGGAAGATGGAGCTTTGAGCATGTTTGGACAGGAGAGAACTTTCACATGTCAGTATGGCGCTTGGAAACTACAGAAAGGGGTAAGAGTGTTTCCTAAAGTCTGTTGGTCTGTCTTCTAAATTTCTGTACTAGCTACCCTCTGTTGATGCATGGAATGGATGAATTGATTGGTCTTTTCCCTTCTTAGCTTCTTTGTCTAAATGTTCTCTTAAAAAGCTCAGAGCTAACTACACTACAGGAAGTACAAAATACTAGCACTCAAGAAAGAACTACATGGACTAGAGGTGGATCTTTGCATATGTCTAAAACCTATTTGGTCAAAGCTGAGAATGACTCATTGGCTAATATACAAATCACTCTGAAGAATGGATTCTAACAGTCATTTAATCATTTAATGGAAATGAAAGAAACTTAAAGAAGATCAGTTAATTTCATGAGTAAGAAGGGAAAAGAGAAGCAAATTTAAGTAATCATTTCTCAAACTGGCATGTCTATTCCTCTGAAATTTTGGGGTCATCTTTCATTTACAATAACTAATCCTTTAGCATCTAATGATGTAAGGCTTAACCTTCTCTCATAAATACAGAGGTGGCCTAGAAACGAAATTTAAACACCTAGAGGTCAGAGTAAAAGGAAAAAGCTGAAGAGCTTAAATGTCACATGTGCAAACAGTGATCAAATTCCCTTTCTCTGATAAATACTGACTTAAAAATATCCATAATAATTCAACTCAACAGACCAAGAATGAGCTTTCTCTTCTCACTGAATCAAAAGCTTCTATATAGGGGCCGGCCCCGTGGCCGAGTGGTTAAGTTCGCGCGCTCCACTTCGGTGGCCCAGGGTTTTGCCGGTTCGAATCCTGGGTGCGGATGTGGCACCACTCATCAGGCCATGCTGAGGCGGCATCCCACATGCCACAACTAGATGGACCCACAACTAAAATATACAACTACGTACTGGGGGGCTTTGGGGAGAAAAAGGAAAAATAAAAAATCTCCAAAAGCTTCTCTCTATATAACACTTTGTAATGGGGAGGTTCAACAGTGATGACACTGGATCAGCATGTACTTCCAGGGCAAAATTCCCTCTAGGAGTCCTAATATTTCAAAGCTGGCCATCTTTATAGATGTGGCTTTGAGATTCTAATTAGACAGACACTGAAATGCCTGTGGCTATTTTTACAGAGTGAAAATGTTAAGTGATGAGCCCCAGGCTCTACTCGTTGCTAAAGGATTGCTGTCTTCCTCTTTGCCAATGAGGGGCCCATCTCATACAGAGGTAGCACTGAGCAATGGGGACAGCCCTGGAGGAGAGGCAGGAGCTTGTCTGGGCTTTGCCTATAGATGTTCAACCTGGAGAAACATTTCTCTCCTCCAGGCCTCGGGGGGCTGGACTAAGTGATTTCTAAGGTTGCTTCCAGCTCTGCTATTCAATGATTGAGTTTCTATGTCTAGTAATTGGAAATCTTTACTGTGACAGCTCCAAACCGGGGACAGAGGTTGTGGCTAGGACTGAAGGCCACTTCCAACCAGTCTTCTTCACCAATTTGGAAGTGGAATTTAAGGAATCCAATTACAGCAGCACCTGAACTTGCATCCTGGACATGTGGAGGGGACAGCGGACAAATGAGAGAAACACAGAAAATATCCCTTTTCAAATCAGCAGCCGCCATCGCATATATAATTATTTCTTTGGGGTATCTGAGCTGTGGCTGTACATACCATATGTCAGAGAGAATAGTTAAAATTATAAAAGAGCATAAGCAAAATGCAGACCGCACAGAGAAAGAAATCTTTGGTATCTTTGGTGTCATCAACACGATTAAAATTACAAATGGAAAAAGTCAGTGAGGTAGCCTTCTTTGGTTCTCACTAGAAATAGAAAGTTTTTCCTTTTTTTTCTTTTTTCTGCTTTTTTTTTTTCCTTTTTTGTTTTGTTGTTTTACACACACACAGAGTTCATTCTTGGAAGCAGCTAGTATAAGGGTTCCTCTCTTTTTGCTGTTACGATTTTTTTAAAATTTATTTTTCCAGTTTCTGTATAGAAGCCCCGAAATCCAGGCTGGTGAAGCGGGGTCTCGGCTTCCGTTTTCTGAATGCACAGGCTCGGGCTGAACAGTCATCGCTCGTCCACCAACTTTGCTCTGTTGTTCTGACAGCAAATGAACGGCAGTGCTCTCTGTTGTTTTAAATAAAAAATATAAACTATACAGCGCACCTTTCTCAGGTGCTGAATAAGTTAAATAAATAAGTTACAATAGGAAGGCTCTGAGGGCCCCAATAATTAAAAGGGGAAGTTCGCCTGGTACCTGGTGGGGTTGCGAACTTAAATTAAATAATTTAATCATTGTTATTAAGCTATTTTAAAAGTTAATTCAAGAAGGAAAAATACCTCAATTTTTGTTGTAACCTGTATTTCTTCCCTGTCTGTAACAGAATTTCACTGCTTTATAAAGCAAACTAAACTTCAAGAGAATTCTAAAAGGGATTTTGCATCTCTGATGCACCATTGGTCTAGATTTTGATAAATAAGCACAAGGAGCAAAGTCAAACTAAGGAAGAATGATTAAATAATTACCAAATCCTATACATTTGTGTGCTAGAAACTAATTTAAATAAATTAATTACATTAATGGTACTTAGCTTGTTGGGTCATAACCCAAAGAGACAAGGAAAAAAGTGTTTCTTTTGACTGTCTTCATTGTTTGATGGACAAAATGGATAACCTCTTTTGATAGTCTAAATGAAAATAAAGCAGGAAATTATAACCTCTTTCTCATGTTCCTCAAGGCCATTTAGATGTGACAAGCATGAAAGAAAAATCGCCACTTCCCCACTCTAGCTAGCGCAGCCCCCACAATACCACATCACCATTGTCTCAACCCTGGAAACCAGAGCCCACTTTTCCCCTATTACTTTGCGTTTTACTTTGCTATTTTCTTCCTTCTTTCTCTTTTTTTGTTTTCTGTATTTCCATTTTTTTTTTTTTTTGGTCCTTTTTCAGGTCTTTGGATTTAGCTTTAGTTATGAGAGATCCAGAATAAAGCTATTCAACCGAAGTCATCAAGCATGTGTATCTTACACAGATGATTACATACCATCCACTTGGAAGTTGAGTTTATCTTGAATGTGCCCAAATGAAAGGAATTCCAAGTGTACACAATGAAGATGCTGGGATACTGTTTTTTTTCCTGCACTTTAGTTTTCAATGTTACAATAAATAATGAAAACAATGTACATTGCAGAAGTACCACATACATGTTAAATGATCACTTAAAATTTATTTATTGTAACAGATGACAGTATGTATGTATGGAGATGTTTGTGCACACGTGTCTGTGCTCAGTCTAGACACCCATGGGCCATGTGTGCTAAGGACATCTATGAGAATACATGTGAAAAGATGTATCTAAATCTGTATACATCCAAGCTGACCGACTGTATAAGGTTTAAGCAAATTTATCTACCCAGGTTGATGCTATGTGAAATCCTGCTGCTAAAGATGGAGCAGAGTGGAAGACTTCCACAGGATGAACAAACCTGTAGCAAAGTGTTTTTCCTATACACACTTTCTCCACTAAAAAGGTATTAGCTGGTTGATTACAGTCAACCAAACTCAAAAACCTATAAGGAAAGCTTGGGCTCTAGCTTTGACTTGCCTCGGACTGTCAAGAGTCATTTTGGTGTCTGAGAACAATAAGCATTTCTGGTCCCTGTGGGATTCATCCAATAGCCCATCAGCGTCAATTTTGTATCCACCTATGTGAGGCCCTATATTATTTTAATAATTGTTTTTGTATTTTATAACTTATTCTGAGACTTTCTGAAACAAATAAACAAACCTTCCTTTTCCCCTACCCTTGTAAAGAAACAAATCATGGGTAGAAAATAGGCATTGGGACATCCATGTTTAAAGTCAATGTCACTAACTTAGGAGAGTTATACATCAACCTCAGGTGCCCCTTCTTCCTTTAGTAAGGATTTTGTGGCCTTATTTGAAAACTAGAACCTCCTGTTGTTTTAGAGGTGATTTGGGCTTAGCTAAAGGTACAAAATTATTAAGCTATCCAGTCTTGCAGGTAAATACCAGAAAGTTGTAGGCACACCAGCTCTATCCCCTCTCACTCTTCCTGGTCAGGCTAACAGATCTGCACCACACAGCATCAGCAACAACAACAAAAAAATCCGCTCCAATCTGTTAGGAATCGTGACAGTTATCCTCACAGCACTTGAGGTCAACCTTGAACACAGGCATCATCTCATTTTCTCTACTTTTTAATATAATACATTATTCTTCAACAACATTGGAGCTCAGACAGTTCTTTTTATATTTTTTAAAATTCCTACTATATAACCTCGTGAAAAATCAGAGTTCACCGCAAAGGTATATTGTCACGACACTTTGGTAGTGGTAATCAGACACTTCTATAATTCCACCAGCATTTTCAAAAGTGGGAAGGTGTGCCCCCCTACCCAAGTGGTAGTGATATATATTTTTTTAAATATGCTCAACTTTAATTTATTAGCACAAATAGGTGGGCACCCAGTACAGATTAGGTAAAATGGTTGATCATCTAAAAGGTATTTATATTTGGCTGTGAAGTACACTGCTTGACTTACAAAAATGCACGTGTGTGTATATATTGGTATGTGTATATGTATCAGATTTACCTTCCTAATTTTGATTTGGTTTTAGCTGGCAATGAAAGTTAGCTTTTCCTAAGCCCACAACTGCCAAGACTCTGCGGGAAGAGAGACGCTGCAGAAGTGATGCCCTGATCTCTCCAGAGAAAGCGTCACGCTGGGTCCTTTGTGGCTCATTCTCACCTGTACCTTTAAGTGGTACAACCTACACGCTATTTTACATTTTGGAAAAGCCTTTACATATTGGGGTTGAGTTTTTATTGTTGTTGCTGTTTTCCTTTAAAAAAGAGATACATTGGCTCTTTTTAAAAAAATTTCCCAGAATGAAACAATTATATCCCCCATAACAAAATCACATGGAAAACAAAAGTAAAGCAAGCATATTTGCCTAAAGGAATAAAGAAAAGTATTTTTCCACTCAATAGCATTTGGATTTCTGTTGCCTCAAGAATGTGAATTTTGGTTGAGAACTGTCCCTTCACACTTTCATTGCTGATAGCTAAGGCATGCCTGGAATTCTTCTTGAATTGAGAAAATGGATCCTAAACTATAACCAAGTCCAAACAGTTTTCTATGAAATTATTAACTTAAAATAAGTTTTAACAATGCTTGAGGAAATTCACTGGGTCAAATTCCATTACCTTTCAACTTGAAGGGGTTTTTTTCTTTCATATTTTTAACAAGTTGAAATTCTGTGGGGCTTAAAATTTTGATACATAAATATATAGATACACATATGTATTTATACACGTATGTGAATCATCTTTTAAAAGGAAGCACTTCTCTCTGGTGTGACATTATCTTGTATGAGACATTTGTCAAAAGTCCTTGGAGGGAAGTTCTTGCAATTTTTACATTATGAGATCTTCCTCAAATCACCAGGAGCACTGAAGGCATATGTGACTACACCTGGTTTGGTCAGTGTTGAAATCTCAGGCCACAGAGGCAGCCTCTTTGGGTTTAGACAACTCCAGGGGATGCCAGAGACCCAAATGTCAAAGAACCACTAACCAAACCAAGAAGGTTTGGCTCCTTAATTCAATCTCAAGAAGAACAACCATTTCCATTGGCCACAAGTCACAAGGATTCATTTAGAAATACCCAAGCTGAAACTCATTTTTATCCACCCTTTTGGAGCATTTCCCTGCTGAAATATGCTCTTTTCTTGGTCATTTGACAAAGCAGACACGCAGAATGAGCAAGAGACAAAGGGACAAAGGGAAAAGTCAAGGAATATCCCCAGGTAGGATGAATTACAGAAGCCATAGAGAGTCACCTTCTTTCCCAGCTCCATGGCAGTTACCCTGCAAACAGAGACCCACATGGTGGGAGAAGGGAGGCAGCACAATGGACAACGGGACTCCCAGGGGCAAGACTCTCGGGTTCTCCCCAAACCCTGCTTTGCATTTTTTCACCAAGATTGAGAATCATCTCCCCACCCAGCACCACTGCCTCACCCCAGTGCCAGCTGTGGTTGCACACAGGCTTGTCTATACGAATTGGTAATTACAACCCTGAGGAAACCTAATCAACCCATTGCAACAGGACTTGGACTTCCGCTATGAGAAATCCCTCTGGTGGATCGACTTACTGAGGGGGATCTAGAATACCCTAATGGGACAGGGCAGCTCCTGGATAACAGATTTCTGGGCTGGCTTCATCTCCATAACTGGTGGGAATGGACTACTGAGCCTTCCCAGCAGTTACAGAAGATGAGCACCCCACTGCCACTGGCCCTGGTCCAGTTCTGTTCGGGGTCTGGTGGATGAACCTTACTCACCATCTTGATCATGGTTGAGGGATAGAATAGAGATGACTCCAAATACAAATAAAACTCATTTGCACCACAGATCCATTTATCAACAGGTTAAATGCTGAAATGCTTGAACTCGACTTTCAACCTTTCCCAGGAGTTTTCACAGAAATCTGAATACTCCAAATCATCCACAGCGGCAAATGAACTCTGGGATGGCATGATTAGAGATGAGCAAAATTCTGAACTGAATACTTAATAAACAAAGCACTTGACAAAAACAAGACATGAATTTGGATAGCAATAATTTTGGGTTATCACCAATGTCAAGTTGAATCTATATATGTATTCCTATATTATATATATATCTTTCTTTAGAAATGCAACTTTACAGCTGATTTTTAAAAAGCTAATAGAAAAGTAGAAACTGGCAATTATTTTTACATGTTTCCCCCACCCTCAAATGAAGCCCTGTTAGATGTAGCAATCACACGAAAATGAGGCTGTCCATTCCTCTATAAACTCTTTGGTTCTGTGGCTTGGGAGAGGATGTGTCACCAAGACCCCTGACCCTAACCCTCACTCCCCTTCCCTCCCCTGATGATGAGACTCTGAACAGAGAAGCAACCAAGTCTAAGGGATAAGCAAAGAACATTCAAGTGACAGTATTATTCCTCGCACTCTGCAAAGCAGAGAGAAGAGAATCATTCAGTATCCCAACATCTTAAACTTGGAGTCCATGGAATCCTTTGAAAGATTCCATGTTAGGGTAGAAAGCCATAAAACAAAATTAAAGGGAAACAATAAAATCAAATAAATGACCCTTTCCTTTTGTTGCTCAGAAACAAAATTGATTACCTTTACACAGATCAATGGCGCTATTAGTATTTTAGCCAGGCAAGAGGAGATAACGAACTGAAACAAGAGGTGTGAGAAATCCTCATCTTTGGTATTGTAGCTGTTGAGGTTTCTGTTGCTCTGTTCCGTGTTCTTTTGAAAACTGCATAGGCACAAATTAAAGACAATCTTCAACTTTAAGATTACCGCGTGAGTTGTCAAATGAAGCAGCCGCCACTGAGGCTTTTCCTTATTTCTATTCTTGTCTCAACCCTTTCTTTAGAATCTGCTTCCAAAAAATGTCCCAAGAGGTCTGTTTGAACACAGTGTGTCTCGCTGTTTTTTTTTTTTTTTTCTGGCGTGCTTCCTTCTTGTTGGTGGTGATTTTCATTGACTTACGTATTTCGTTATTTATTCATTTTAATGGGACGGTTTTGTTTGTTGCAGAAGTAGGTGCAGAAAAAGTTTCTTTGGTTTCGATTAAGTAATTCATAAAAAAGTCAGTCTCAAGTGTCCGTAAAGAATCACTGCAGTGTTTGGCTTGCTTTGAACATCCCCATGGTGCCCACCTGGGGCCATTCACTGGTAAATATGCACATCGTGACCTTTGCAATCTCCCAGAGTCCTGTGGGCACTCTTCCGCTTGCTGTGGGAAGGTGACAGCCAGGAACCAGAGCTGACGTGGCAAAGCCACTCCCTGGGTGGCTTGGCTAACGTCCTTGGTGTAGCCAGTCTGCTCTGCCTGATGGAGAGCCGAATGCAAGAGCTGAATGCCATTTGGAGTTGCAGAGGTTTTCTGATTTCTAAAAGTAATCACAGTATTTTTAGGCTAGAAAATGGCAAGTAAGAAATGTCTTTGGTTTGCAGTATTCTGCTTCTTTGGTGTGCTGTGTTTTCTCCAGATTTATTCAGCTGTTTTTCTAGGATCATTCAACAATGGAAGAGACTTAGGACTAGATGACAGTCATGAGTAACATGTATGGTGGTTTGAATTATTCATTTTTTTCTTGCTAGAAAACACTGAAAAGATCCCTACCAATGGGATGGATGAGGGAACAACTTAAATCTGAAACAGTGAAAATGAATTATGTGGTGGTAAGAATGCACAATAGGAGGAACCAGGTGACTAGTAACCAAGAAAGATACATTAGTGATGTAAAAAAATGTAGATCTTTTAAAATGCTGCATTTGCTCCATGTACCGTAACAGTTAAATTGGCCTCCTGAGTGTGCGTCTGCATTATGTACAAACAGAATTTGTAGCAAACTGCAAAATGTGCTTGAAGCCATATTCCCAACGATTCCCTAATGACTTCACAATCGGCGTCTTGAAAATCCAGATGTGATGAATCCAGAACCTTCCTGACTTCTCTCTTTATCTTTGTTGTGCTTGATACTTTGAGCTCAAGTGCACTGATTTGTTTTTTTGATGGATCCAAGACCACGTGAGATTTCCAGGAGGTAAGGGAAAGAAAACTGTAAACTGGATCAACTGAAAGCTTTCTAAACCATTCAATGAAAAGATGCCTGAGTTGGAAAAACAGGTCCTTGGATTTTTATTTTTTTTGACTTCCATATTTAAAACTTGTGCTCAATAATTATCATTCTGATGTTTTTTATGTTATGGCTGTGAACTTTGTGTACTGTGGTATGATGAGGCTAAGCACTTGGAAAGCAAATGAGGTCATTCTTGTTGCTAGATTCTTCCCTCATTGCAGCATCTTGGGAACCCAAACTCAGAGTTCTTACATGGGCCAAATTCCCACTGTTACTTGTGGAAATCTGACTGCAAGAAGCTGACGGGACCCAAAGCAGGACTGTTAACCTTTTAAGCAATCCTGAGCTTGGTTGCCACCACACTGAAATTAATTTGCTCCAGGAAGTCCCCCATTTGGGTTTCTGGGATGCTTAGCATGCTCAGAGGACAATGACTGGTTCAAAGAGATTAATTTTCAGCTTGCACTTGGACTCCATAGCCATTAAAACAAACAAACAAAAGAACACCTGGCCTATGATTACAGCTAGAATAGAAGTTTCTTTTCAAGAGAATTGTGCTTTCAAATCACCAGTGAAGGGCCCCAGCTAAGAATCTGGTGTCTTTTTCCTTTGTGTTTTCTTTTGGTATCTGTGGTCCTCGCTTGGAGGTGACTTGTGCCAAACTGAGAGTCCTTCCATCACGCTTTGGTACAAGTGCTCGAGGTGGACGAGGAGCCCCCTGTGCTCAGGTCGTCTTGCCACTTCTCCAGGCTTCGACGCCGGGCGTTCATGAAGAAGTTGCTGACAGTCGTGAGCTCCAGGCCCAGCTGCTGGGAAATGGTGATCTGCATCTCTTTGGACGGACGTTTGTTCTCCTTGAAGATGGCGAAGAGTGTTCGGCGTTGGAGGTCGGTGAACACCAGGCGGGATTTCTTCTGGGAATTGTTCCTGTCTTTGTTAGGTTCTTGCTCTTTGCGTTTGCACGCTTGAAGGGAAAGAAAGAGAAGAAGGAGAGATTCAGTATGAGAGTGAGAACTGGCCTGAGAAGGTGATCCATTGAAAACATTGACAAAGTCGTACAAGGGGATGTAAACCGTTAAACTTTATTGTGCAAATTGCCCAGCTGTCAATAACCACCCTTCTCGGTTCATCTCTGGTGATGGAAGGCATCAGTTAGTCGGGGAAGGGAGAAAGGAGGGAACAGCAGGGCTGTTTTACACAGTCTGGTTTTGAACCAATTGGGGTTGCTTTCTCTTTCAACCCCCACCCCCCCACACCCTTAAAATTCTTGATCTCTGAAATCAGGCGCTGTGAAGGGAGTGAGGACTCCAGGTGCCCAGGGGAAGCCTGGCTCAGCAGCTCCCCTTCATACGCATGCTCTAGAACTGTTTACGGCTGAGCTGAAATTACATTCGGGAGTCAAAACTTAAAAGTGCCTAATTTTTCAAAACCAAAGCTTCTACTCATATGACTCAAGAAATTGTTAACAGAATGAAATTAGAAGTGACAGAATGATGGTATCATCCTGACCCAAAGCCCCTTCTTCCAGACTTTTGAAAAATTAAAAAAAAAACAAAACAACACAGGGAGGGAAAGATAGGAAAATATTGGTTTAGCCACCTCTAATTTGGCTAAGTGTGAGGTGAAGCCAGTACCAGAAGACCAGAGCTGAGCGCAGTGGAAGAACCCAAAGTTACAATGTCAGGACCCCTTAGATATGTCAACAGTACATGCAGAGTCTCTGACTTAGTAGATGTGTATCCACACCTGCATTGACATATACAGCCAGGACATTAATTTATGTGTCACTACCTCTGCCTTACCCTTCAAGTTCCCAGAAGGCAGGTGTCAGGTCTGTGTCATATTCCCGACTGGCTCTTTTTGGAGCCACGGACATAAATGAATGCTTGGGATACCGATGACAAGTGGTGTCTTGGCTCTTTTAGGGAATCTGTACACTTCATAGACAGATTTGGTCTGAGAAAAGTGACTCGTAAGGGTTAAATAATACAGGGCCCACAAATCACGAATTTAAACATGAGAACACGTGTTAAAATCACTGGAAAGAAATAGCTCCCGCAGGGTTGTGGTGCAGCTTCAACAGGGTTAATCCCGGAGCAGGAAGGAGGGAGCAGGGGCCGGCTTCACACACTCTTCCGGAAGCAAATCCCACTGGACATTCTGGCCCAGGTTGTGAATCTCTTCCTATTTGGACTGATGTTACCCCAAGCCTGGCAGTTCGGGGTGCTGCCTGGATGCTATTCCATACTCCTCAAAGCCCTGGTTTGCAGATTTCTCTTCCAAGCCCTGGGTCAGGGTATTTCCTGCTCGTTGCATTCTGCAAGGAGCGCCGTGCGTAGTGGGTCTGCTACAGTTTGGGTATCAGGGGAATATCTACTGTTAGGTCTTAGGATTTAACCTGAGGACCAACACCCACAGAAAGGATATTCTGGAAGCTGAACTTCCCCCTGCCTAACTGGCCATCCTCCCTGGTGGATGCTATCTGCCATAAACGAATCACTCTCAAAATAAATGAAAAGTGACGACACTCTCAAAGGGCAGGAACAGGAGAACCCTCAAAAAGGAAAACTGTGGGGCTGTGTCAGCTTTGCCCAACTCTTTCTTCCTGATTTTTCCTTCTCTCATTTTAAAGAATGAAAGTAATCACATTGCCTTCGAAAGTTAAACACACACACACCCCCCCTATAAAAACATCCATCTAAAAACCTATTCTCTTGGGAGATTTGGACTTTCTCAGATAAGGCGTCAGCTATGGCTGTCCTTCTCTCTCTATAGGAGTTTCCCGATAGAGTTGTTGTCTTTGCTCATTCCTGCGAGGATCTTGCATTTTTGTTGGATTATGTAGTTTATCATAACCTCACTTTCAGACTTGCTCTCTCTTGTCCAATCTCAGTTCTTTACAACAGTGCTTCTAAGCTCTAAGGTGCAAAGGAATCATCTGGAGAGCTCTTTCAAATGCAGATTCGGGTGCAGCCAGCCTGGGGCAGGGCCTGAGAATCTGCATTTCCAAATGAGCTTCCAGGTGATGCCGATGCTGCTGGTCCACCTGCCTCAGTTTGACTAGCAAGCATCTACCCGATTTCTACAATCTCAGAGGAGCACCTTGATGGAACGGAAATCTCTGGAGCTAGACGTGCCTGGATTCAAATCTGGGCTCCTTTGCCTCCAAGACTTGGGATCTCAGATAATTACTTATCCTCTCAGTGCCTGTCTTCCTCATCTGAATAATGGAAATGATGAAGCTCACCTCAGCCGAGGCTTAAGTGAGGTAACATGTACATGCTCCTTCCCCACCCTCCCTCTCAGTGGATGACCCCAGCAATCTTGAAGTAAATAAATAGGCAAAATTATTTTCATTTTAAAACAAAATAAATGGAGACCTAGAGGGTGTACACGATTGACGGAGCTCACATTCCAAGTTTGCTGCAGACCCAGGGCAAGGATCCGGTCCTTTGGTCTCTCCATCTTTCTCCTCTACAGAAATGGCACCCACGCCACTGGCACATGAAGGGACCTGTTTGCACAACAGCCTCTGGGGCTCCACCCCCAGAGATTCTGATGTTCACCTTGTGGGGTAGGGTCCCAGAACCTGTGCTTTCATAAACCAACTCGGGCTTTTCTGAGACATGGGAACCAGTGTGCTTGATTACACTGTCACGTTAGGTCCCCAGACTATTACTGTTCCTCCCCTAACCTCCTTGGACACCTGGTGCCAAGCCTTCATCTGGAGGATTATGAATAAATAGTGGTGCATGGTAATCTCCTGATAACAAAATCTGGGCAAATATCTTCTTCAAACGTTGGTTGAGGTCCTCTGTCAACTCTTGCTCCTTTGGATTAACCGGACAGCCCTCAATTTTCATACCAATATTGATTATTCTTCAGATAATGCTTTATATGTGCTTTTAATAGGGTGTTTAGACAGTATTGGTGCAGGTCCATGTTAGCCTATCAGGTTATATTTTGTTTTATGCACACAGACGCACATATACACACACATATAAACTTTAACAGAAAAATGTTAAAGGTTTAATGTTCAGCAAACTGCAGAGAAAGAAGAGATCAACAGATCCAGTGTATGCCTTCTCAACATCTTTCCAAAGCCACCAGATGCCACACCAACAAATACCAATCTGTAGCCTGTGGTCCGCAAATGTACGGCAAGTCCAAAAGCCCAAAATAATGGGGCAGTAGGTACATAAGCCCAGAGTCCTTACAGCTAGCAGTTGCCACCCCACGATTCTTACTCACAAAAGGCAACTGGTCAGGAGTTGAAGGAAAATAAAAACAAGGGAACACCTGCTTTGAAAGTCTGAGAAAAGGCAGACAGAGAGAAAGGTGTCGGGAAGCTGGTATGAGGTTGTGAACCTCAGAATTTCTCAGAACCAAGGTGTGAAGCCAGCTATGTCCACAGGCAGAGTCAGAGTATAAATGGTTTTGGTGTTAAAATATTACACTCTACAGTCAAGTACCCATTTCTACACAGCTAGTAAAATGCCAAGTAGCTCCCTATGACCTGGGAATGTGTGTTAGACACTCAATGAACAGCAGGTGCTCATCGGTGGTGTTTGTGGATCTAGTCTCTGCTGGGTCCCAGCCACTCAAGGTAAATTCTGCCCCAGGAAGGTGTGAGGTCAGCCCAGTCTCCTGCAGGCCACTTGAATCTGTTCCTTCTCCTCCATCTTCCAGGAGAAAAGCAGGAAGGGCATGCCCAGGGGTGAGGTGTGTATCACACAGGGTGATGGACATGGGCGTGGATGCAGACAGCCCTCAGCCATCCTTGACTTCCCTCCTCTCATGGGCAAGTGATCCCTATGTGGGCTATGGGAGTTCAAGAGCTCATTTATTTTTCAAAGAAGAGGAGAAATCATTTGTTTATCTACAATGAGGTTATCCACCCAGGCTACAGTGCCTCTTCCTCCCTTTTTGGGCAGAAGCAGCGTGAACTCAGATTGGGAGTGCTAGCTGTCTCCCGTGGACCAGAACCTGGGACTGGCAGGTATACACAGATAGAGGGATCTGTGGTTAATGACAAAGGTGACAGCCAGTCACTGCCTAGGAAAGGCAGGGTCCGGGGTAGACAAATTTTTCAAACCAGTGAGTTCCCAGAATGAAATAATAAGAGGCAAGTTCTGGTCCAAGGCACAAGCCCTCCCTGAGATCTTGACTCTAACTCGCCTTTTCCCTCTCGGCCACAGTGTTTTTCTCCCTCAGACGGTCAGAATCAGGACAAAGAAAGCGCATCTCTAAGGACGTGCCACGGCCTGTAGCTGATCCGAGCCAGGAGAGAGAGAAGAACTCGCCACAACTGAACCTTTCTCCCTGCCTGCCAAGCCCAGCTCCCTACCCACGCAAGCAGCTCCTGGGTATCCTTGGGAACCCAACTGTCCCCAGGCGCCCAGAGTAGCTGGCCACAGCTCTGCCCAGCGCTCAGACATGGGCAGCATGGAGGTGCGTGGTCAGGGCATGTGGCAAGGTTACAAAGCCAGAGGTGATTCACGGCAGGAGATTCAAAGGGAGGCTGCACAGGGTGAGGGACAGTACCAGGGACTGGAGAAAAATATTAAGGAGGCCACGAAAAGTGATGAATCATCCTGTGCTTTCCTTTCACTTGCGGCTGGGGAGGGGCCTGGTGCCGACCACAAAGGTCAGTGACTGTGTAGTTTCCCTGACAGAAAAGGCTCCTTTTCATGCACCACTAATTTCCCTTCCTGTGACAAAGGTCTTTTGATATTTGCATAGTGAGGGCTAAAGGATTGCCGGAAACCAGGGCCTTGGTGCTGGTGGGGAGGGGAAAGGAAGGCAGAGTGGTAGAGAGAAGCAAAGTGGGGACAGGCACAGGGCCACCACCTGCTTGCCACCTGTTTCTTTTCCCCTTTGGTTTTCCCTCAGAGGGCTCTGCCTGGACATGGGTAGAGTAACTTCAGTTGTGTGTGTGTGTGTGTGTTTGTAGGGTGAGAGGGG